AAATATCTTAGAGAGAGAGAGAGAGAGAGAGAGAGAGAGAAACTATATTAAATCAAATAAATGTTACAAATATTGACAAATAACCTGGATACCTTTGATTTACAATCCTACATAATGGTGTAAAAACTTTTATAAAAATAAACAAAAATAAAATGCATATTTTATGGCATCAAACAAATAAATTTTTATTTCACTTCAAATTTGTACAATATATCAAAATGTAATTTAAATATTTACTAAAACATTAATTACAATCACGTTTATAATTATCTATAAATCAAAAACACAAATCTTGGCTAATTATCGCAATTATAAACATCAAATTATTATTAATATAAAATTTTTATAAAATAACACACTAAATAAATACAATCAAAATTTTAATTATAGTAATTTCATTTCCATATAAAACACACATAAAAATTTCAATCAAAAAACAATACAAATTTCATTAATAAAACAAATCAAATGACAAATGATTAGCAAACAGTAAAATGAGAGGAAAATGTAGAAATAAATACAAATGAATTTGAAAAAACACCCTAGGTAACAATAAAACTAAAAATTCGGTAAATTCACCACAATGCAAATTCTATACAATAGTTAACTATCACCTTTCATCTCGCTCATTTCTGTCCAGTACGTCATTATAGTCCAGATCATACGTGTATGGCTTGTAGTGACTGTGCGGCAAACTCTTGGCCGGCAGGCGCTTGCCTTTGATCATATCGGCCAACCGCTCGGCCACCATTATTATGGGCGCGTTTGTGTTGCCCCCGATTAGCGACGGGAATATAGACCCGTCGGCTACCCGTAGACCCTTTACGCCGCCCAACACCCGCAGCTGCGGGTCCACCACCGATGTCGGGTCGTCCGCCGCACCCATTTTGCACGTCCCCACCGGATGGTAGATCGTGTGGGTTAGGGTACGCGCCAAACAGGCTAGGTATTTGTCGGAGTATAGTTTGTACCCTTCGCAACCTGCATGGGTTTTGGTATAAAGTTGTGTTATAATATGTTTTTGTAGTATTTTTTTGTTTTTTAAAGTTTTTTTTATTTTTCTCTGACTTCTGGTTTTGGAGTGAAATATTTTTCTTATTTTTATAACTCATTAAATAAATCATTTCATGCCTTTTGACTGATATTATAATTAATTATGTATTTTCTATTTTCTCTCTCTCTCTCTCTCTCTCTCTCTCTCTAAGATATTTTTAAAATCATTTTTTGTTTGAATTGATTTATTGCGTGAATATTATATTCGGTGTGAATTGAGTGAAATTGAGATTTGATTTTTAAATAACAATTTATTATTAACTGATACTAACTATAATTTTTCTGTGAGTTTCGCACAAAACTTATAATAAAATAATTATTGCTTTAAGTTTCACCGGTTATAACAAAAGCACACGACAAGTTTTGTTTTTGTTGCTAGTTGTTTTTGTTTTTCAACTAACTTTGTTGAATAATAAATTGTTAATTATGTGTTAAATTTAAATAAAAATCACATAAAACATGCTATTATTTTCACTGTCTATACAAACAATAGTTAATTAACAAAACATAACTTCATATTTGTTTTGTTAAACTCAAAAAACAACAAAAACTTATAAATATTTAACCAAAATCAGCCAAAAAATACCCAAAATACCCAAAAAACACATGATAAAAAGCACTTCACACATACCGGGCACCACTTTATCAATGAGTCGGGAGCCGAGTCGCCTCATGGGTGGCGAATGGCCCACTTTGATGGTGATCTTCATGGCCTCCACCATAGTCTTGATGTCGTGCGGGTCCGTCAGATACCGGGGCTCAATGATGGGCGGGTCGTAGGCGCTGGCACTTCGCAGCTTAATGTACCCGGTACTTTTTGGCCGTAGTAGCACCGGGAACAG